GCTTCTCGCCGTTTGAACTGATCTACGGCCGGCACGTCCGAGGACCCCTGGATATATTGAAGGAACTCTGGACAGGGGAAGACCTAGAGGAAGATATCAAGACTACTTACGGATACGTGCTTGATCTGAGAGAACGTCTTGAACGCACCTTGAAGCTGGCTCAAGAGAATCTCTCCCGAGCTCAACACTCGCAAAAGAAGTATTATGACCGAACCTCCAGAACCCGACAGCTCAAAGTTGGTGACCGGGCTCTTATATTGCTCCCAACCAGGGAAAACAAGCTTCTTATGCACTGGAAGGGGCCATTTCCGGTTACAGGAAAAAAGAATGACCACGACTATTGGTTGGACCTTGGGCACACCACGAAAATGTTTCACATAAACATGCTCAAGCGCTACGAAGAACGTAGGTGCTGATTATATGAGCAGGCTACAGGTGTAGGTGCTAGCTATACAACATTAATGTAATAATGTACCATATGCCTAGGGACTCTCACATACAGACTATTCTCTTGGTGCAACAGTTCTGTACATTTGTTTGTCGTAAGTCTTGTCTCCCGCGCACTTTGGACAGTTTTTTTTTTTAAGAAAAAAAAAAAAAACTTTTGAAAGGGGGGACTTTTGTCATGATATGCGCGGTAGGTTCATCTGGTGCGCGATGTTTGTGAGTTTGTGCTGTGCCGCACGCCGACGAAGATGACGATGAGACAAGGAAAAGGCGGAATCGTGTCGTCAAAGTCAAGCCAAGCCATGGGGAGAGAGGAGAGGAAGACGACGACGGGGCGTTGGAGAAGAAGGATCCGAACGAAAGAGGGGCAGGCTGAAGCGCTCGTCGGGTCGTGGTCCCGAAGCCTACCTGTGCCTGTGTTCCGCACGAGTCTGGCTCTCTTCTACCTGTGATCCAGCAGCCGGCGCCAGTCCGTTGTACTCGGATCCGGTCGTTTTCCAGACCTGGGCCTACTACTGGCTGTCCGGGACGTGCTTGCCACACATCGACTCAGCCTCACGCTCCGCTCCGACCATGCCTGAGTCATCGCTGATGTCGGCGTAAGACGCAACGCAACGCATCGACTCATCTGCCTTCGACGTCACACGGTGAAGTGTTTCAAACCTTGTGTAGTGCAGTGGGGGACTACGCTAAGCGTCAGACCTTGTCTTTCGAGAACGTGTGTCGTGCTTGTACCTAAGGCAGTTCTTCGCTGTTGCCATGTAACACGCCAAGCTTCATTATCGTTTTTTTCTTTTTCTTTTTGTGGCATTAAAGCCTTATAACTCAAGTTGCAAATGTCTTCGTCAGTCTCGACAACGATTATTTAAGTTGCCGAGATTACTCGAACCTTATCCCTCACACTGGCGAGGACACAGCCCTAATCAACTTTCTTTAATGTTGCTGATGGTTTATTGATCCTACTGACTGCCACTATGACCGTTATCTCAGTATTTAAGGGGGGGCGCGGCAAGTAAAGTGCCGATTTTGGTCAAAATATGCGATTTTCTGATTTATTTTTTTTCGTAATCTTCAGACCTTCAACTTCCTTGTTCTAAAATATTACAGCGAAACGTGCGCTACAAATCCCGCAAATAGTGTTTTTGCCGAGGCTAGTCGCCGAAAAGTGCGAAAAAAAAGCCCCTGAAACGGTGTTGTTCACGCCGCACAAACGCGCCAAGTTGTTGACCGTGGGCCGCCATTTTGGTAGCTTTGGAAAGAGGAGAAAGCCGGCTTCCCGATGGTCGCGGTCTCGTATTTCGCCGAGTGAAAATAAAAGCGCGAGGAGCAAGTAAAAAAACGAAAACGAAGAACGGCAATTGGCTGCGCGGGTCACGTGGTAGCAGGCGCGACCTCTTACTGGTCAGAGCTGCGCCGCGCACCTTGGCAACCTTGGAAGCGCGAGCGCATCTGCGGCCGCCGAGTCGAGAATCATCCGGCGTGCGCTTCGTTTTTTGCCAGTTGGCTGTTTTTGTGATAGTTCGCGTGCTTTTTTACCAAGCTTTGTTTACATCGGTGGTCTCTTCTGAGTGCTTGCTCATACTGCGGTGCTATGTTGTCGCAAAAAAGTTCCGGAGCGTCCACAAGTACGGCAAGCGTCGGAAAGCTTGGAACAAAGGGCAGACGACTGCGGCTGCCGTCCCAGTCGCAGTTCCGGACGGAGCATGCTCTTCAAGCGTCACGGAGCCTCTACTCAGACCCTTCGCTGATTGTTGTGAGGCCGAGAGTGTGGAAGGTGCCACATCGTCGTATGTCAGACCGCCGGATGCCGTCGACCGTGATGGACGCTCTCGCGAACCCGATTGCGGTGGCACCGCGTCGGCAGCCGTTGCAACTCCGGGCGTGCGCGCGTCGAACATTCTATCGCGAGTTTCGGCCCAGATTCCGAGCAGTGAAGAAATCGCGCAGCGGGCGCAGACAAGGCGGGATGTTTTGGATGCCGTAGCATCGAAATCCGCTTCAAAGCGGAAGCTCGAGCTTCTGAACGAAGGCTGCGACGAAAATGACGGCGGTAAGGACTCCACATTCTTCATTGTAAATAAGAATATGCTGAACGGTCTGCTTTCGTCAGTAAAGTGCAACAAGTGCGACGAAGGGTCGATACGCCTCGAGACTACGCACTGCCTTGGACTCGCGGCGAGGATGGAACTTTTTTGTGACAATTGTGGCATAGTGAACAGTGCGTGGTCGTCCCCGAGGTGCTCCGGGCAACAAAAAACGAACCCCTTTGAGGTAAACGTGCGTGCTTTGAGGGCTGTGCAGTCAGTTGGCAGAAAACAATCTGCCATAAATGACATTTTTTCTGCGATGGACATTTCGCATCGAGCACTGCACCACAAGTCCTACCAGAGACTGCAAAGGAAGTACAGCCACCCTGCCACCACATCAGCTGCCACCCGCATTGAAGCAGAAAGTGCACAGAAGGTGCATGACATTTACAAGGACCTAGGAGGAGTGCCAGGCTACATTGACGTCATTTACGACGGCACGTGGATGACGAGGGGGCACAGAAGTCATATTGGCGTGGGCTGTGTAATCGAGCTGTACACAGGCTTGGTCTTGGACCACTGTGTCCTGTCCAACTACTGCCAAGGCTGTGCTGTTGGTCCCAAGCCTGGTGACGACAACTATGAGGAGTGGCTTGAGAAACACAAGCCACAGTGCCAAAAGAACACCGATGCTAATGCAGGCCAAATGGAAGTAGAAGCAGCGAGGATCATGTTTGAAAGATCGTTTACCAAGTACAAGCTTCGATACATCAATGTGCTCTGCGACGGTGACAGCCGTACGTACCTTGCCCTCACGCAAGACAAGGTGTATGGCTACATGTTGATTAAGAAACAGGAGTGTGTGAACCATGTGAAAAAAAGAATGGGCACTTCCTTGCGCAACCTTCTTGATGAGCACAAATCCAAAGGCCGAGGACTGAGCATGGGTGGCAAAGGCCGGCTGACGCAGGGCCTTATAAAGAAGTTGACGAATTATTATGGCTGGGCCATTAAGAGCCACCCCAACGATGTTCCTGGCATGGAGAGGGCCATCATGGCCACTTATTACCATGTAACATCCACAGACCAGGATCCACACCACGACCTGTGCCCAAGTGGGACTGACTCCTGGTGCCCGCACAATCAGGCATTGGCCAAAGGAGAGCCGCTGCCGCCTCACAAACATAAACTGCCCCCTCACGTGCGAGTGGCACTGCTGCCAATCTACAAGCGCCTCTCGAACAAAGAGCTCCTTGAAAGGTGTGCGCAGGGAAAAACCCAGAACGCTGTGGAGAGTATGAACAGCCTCATTTGGTCACTCCAGTCCAAGAGCCAGTTCGCCTCCCTTCGAAGTGTGGAAAGTGCAGTTGCAGATGCAGTCTGCTGTTTCAATGGTGGCTGCAAGAGTGCGCTGCAAGAGATCACTGCTCAACTGGGCTTCAATCCAGGAGACTGCTCTTTGCGGCGAGCAGCCGAAAAGGATGCCAAAAGGGTGAAGAGGGCTCAAAAGACGCATTGTTCCACGACAAAGAAGCGCAAAACTGGGTTGCGCTCTACAGAGGCCAAGGCCACAGCATCTCAGGATTACTGCCCAGGAGGATTCTGAGTGTTTTAGGCATGTTGTGAACTTCCAAACAAGAGTGAACTTTCAAAGTCAGTTTTCTCAACTCTTGATTTTCGCCTATGTGCCTTCGCTAGAACATCTGTCATTTTTTAACAAAGACTGATAGAGTCGTTCCGTTTTTTGCACTAGGCTCAGGAGGCCTTTAGCAGTGCAATAAAGCTTTATCTCTCTTCTTACTCATCATTTAAAATTTTTAGAACACATTTTATAATTACTGCGATGTGTGCGCAAAACAACATCCATGTTTTGGAAATTTTATTTATGGTTACAAGAACTAGAAAAATCAACTAATAGCTTCTTTGCACAAGTTGATGCTTTGGGAACATAATAATATGAAAAAATAATTTCATTTAGCAATAATTATCTCTTTAAGTGCGAAGAGCATTAATTAGTATAATTATGCTTGTAACTCAAAAAGTACAAGAGGTATTTGAAAACGGTTTTCATATTTGGAATCCTCACAATCATCCACATACACACACCAAATTTCATCACAAACAGTACATTAATAAAAAAAATTAGTTTTACTTGCCACGTCCCCCCTTAAAGCGTCACAGCTGCATTGCCCTTTCTACAACAAAACACTCATCTATCTGACATAAAAATGATCAAGCTAAAAAATCTGCGAGGTCAGTTCTCGTACTGGTGCCTTTGCTATTTCTTCTTTTTCCTTTTACTATTCATGAATGGAATATGTTAGGTGCGCATGCTGTCCAACTTTGAGCCGATGCTTTTTGTTTGCCGCAACGTGAAGCTTGCTTTTCGTGAATGCGCAGGCGCCGCTGCTCAAGCGTATGCTTTTTTCAATTGTACAACTGCGTTCGTTTTTTCCCACCCCCCTTCAATAATGCCCACTCGGACAACGTGGAATGAACTAATGAATAAATCAACGAATGACTCACCCGAGGTAGTACGCCTTTTTGGTTTCACAGAAGTCGCTCACACCGACGTGAGGAAGCATTTCTTTCTGGAGGATTTCCTTGGAATACTTGATGCGCTTCTCCTTGGTGACACCGGGGCGTGCTCCACGAGAACCGATGAAGTTCAGTGCCACATTTTGCTCTTGGATCACAAAGGCCTCGTCCAAGGAAGGCTTCACCATCTCCATCATCTCGGGATCTTCAAAATCGTAGATAATGTGCTCCAGGATGTCACGATCAGCCACAAAGCCCAGTGCTCGGAACACTATCATTATAGGAATTTCTTGCTTGATATAGGGCAATATAGCTATAATCCTCTGGCCGATAGCACTCTTGCGAACTCCCTGCGTGAATGCAAAAGACAAATGCTGAGGCCTCATGCATGTTCGTTTGGACAACAACTTGAGGAATGCATGCATGCATTCAAAGTTTATTATGCGTCTCTGGTGATCAGGACATCTTGGACCGCAATGTGCGCAGACAAGTGGTACGAATCCTACAGTTATTTTTAAGTTGTTTTTACTTCTGAATGTTTACCACCATATCATAGCACTCCCAAAGCATTTAAACCTTTGAATACCCAGCAAATATATTTCAGTTTGTAAGTAATTAGGCTAGATTAAAAGAAAAACAGAAAAAGGAGGTATTGAGCCACCAGATCTGCATCAAAATATGCTATCTAAAGTTAGAATATTTTTATTATTTTAGAACTCTCTACTTCTCTGTCATTTACTTCATCTGCACTGAAGAGAACCCCTATCAGATAATTCGTGCATGTTCGGAACCAATAAGGCCCATGTGTAATAGCTATGGCGAAGAGTGCTTGCTTAAGACTTTGAGTGTACATGATACAGTCGAATTCACATATATTGAACTCACTATAAAATGAGAATGAGCTTGATACACCATACATCTTATATAATTTTTTTTAGTTTGCTGCATTTTTGGTATAATTTTTGGTGTGAAAGTTGGCTACACGGCATTGCTTGATGACAATTGAAGGAAGGCGGCTTACGACAATCGTAAAGATTTCTTTTCTTTGGTTTTTATATTTCTGCAGCTTGTAGTTCGGGATGCGAGTTATATGCAGGCGTGACTTGTAGGCGAGAAAGGATGGTATAAGAATATATAACGACTCAACATTTTATTTTGTGCATGCTCCTGAAGTACCAGAAGTTTCTTGTCAGTCTTGACCCTTATGTTGGTGTTGATTTTAATATCATATACTAAGCGTGCTTGTTGGGATGCTGTATGCGCAAGTGAGGTCAAGCTTCTTTTTACGTTCAGCTGAGTTGATTATCATAAACTTTCCTGTGAACAGCCAGGTTGGTTGGACACAAGAAGAAAGAAAGGGACGAGAGCAGCGCTGGTGCCATCAACTTTTTTTTTTCTCTTCTGGTGTCTTGATGAAGATATGTGATGTTTAATGACGCAAGGGCCATTTGGTGGCTAAAGAGAGCCAGTGCATGATAAAGAGTGTGAAGAATGGTCATGTTATTAAGTGGAAGTACAGGGGCCTGAAATTCCTCGCGTTAAAGGCGGATAAAGCGTATAGGTATTCAAATCACGAGACTCACAGGAAATATGTGCAGTGAAAATGAGCGGAAAACAACTGTGATAATAAAACTATGAAGGGATAGACAATAGCATGGATGCCTCCTCAAAGCTTTCGTAGCCAGAAGCAGGGAGGCCAGTGCTATTTTTGATATAGCCACTGTAGCTACGACCTCTGCTCAGAGGTCATGCTGTGGAATACCAGGGTGGATAACGTGTGAAAATAAAGAACATCATTCAAGAGCGGGAACAGTGAATAGAGTTTGAAAAGCGAATATCTACCAATGACCATCGCTGGATGAAGAGCTTTATGGTTTCCATGCCAAGTAGCCCCCCCCCCCCTCCACCGTACATACGCTCTTTGGTTTGATATCAAGGTATTTTGGTATGACATGTGCTCACCTGGCCTCCTCTGGCAAGCATGTTGACCCAGAGTGTGCTGGTGGGTCGGGACGAGTGCTCTAGGCAGGAGCGGCATTCAGCCTTATAGGCGTACTTGGAATCTTTCATTTGGAATACGTACACTGTGTTGGTTGCCATCTTCTCCTGGGCAATCAGTACCTGCAAAAGCAAATGGTAAGGTAAAAATGGGAAAGCACCCAAAGCCAATGGAATTTGCTAGTAACATTTGCGAAGCAGGTGTAAAGTGAAACCCACTAGCGATGCTATTGGTTTGAACAATACTGTTAATCCTTCCTATAACGAACCTCCATGCAATGAGTTAGTCAATATTACAAAGTTTTTCTATCTCCCACCATTGCTCCATAGAAGCAGGTTTATTTGGGATCTCTATGTAACGACGTGGCAGCAGGAAACACCCTTGATATAACAAATTTTCGCCACCAGCAGTCTAGGAATTTCGCCCAAGATTTGGTCATTTCGGCACGCACATAAACCTTCTACAGTTGTCCCGCCACCGCCTAAACTCAAAGCGAAAGCGTCGCACATGGCGCCCTCGAAGCCTCAGGGACTGCGAGTTGAGAGCGAGCGCTCGTTAGTGTGGGAGGATGTGCACTAGGTGGGCCTGTGCCCCTCGAGCCAGCGTTGTAGCCAATCTTTCCTCCGCAGTTACATGCGCGGATTTGCCCTTTTTCCTTTCAAACTAAAACTACATTTGCTTTGGCAGCGCCACTAATCAGTTGCTACAGATGCCTCTGAATTACACTTCGTTGAAGATGACACCAGGTAATGCTACTAGAAAGAAAGATTCTAGCTTCATGTTGTTCTATCTCTGATTACAGTGCAGTCCACTTATAACGATATCGAGAAAACCTAAAAATATGATCGTTATAACCGGTGATCGTTATATCTGGACTGCCGCCAAAAAATCGTCGCCGGACGTACCTTTTGTAGCTCCAGGCTTCATTTTGCTATTTTCACCAATTAATAAATATTGTAGATAGTAGGATGTCAAAAACAAGACTTTATTTCTTACTCCGAAGAACGCATCACGGGTTCGCTGAGGAAGAGAGACTGACCGACGGCGGGGTGGGAGCAGTGGGAGGAAGAAAGCACAGCCAGAGGTACACAGCCGGAATGCCAACGAGGCCCCGCCCCCATGCCGCCGCGCCGCTTTGCTTTTCGCTTTTTTATTTTCTCTCTCTTTCCCGCTTTCGTTCGGCAAGCTACGAGTAGCTTGCCGGCTTGCCGTTGTAGAAGGCGGGTAGCCGCGGAGCGCGGCGCTTTGCTTTTCGCATTTTTTTTTTAAATTCTCTCAGCCTGTCCGCGGTCGACGCGCGGCGAGGCGCAAAACGTGACACAGCTGGCGCCATCTGTAGCGCGTCGCGCCAACTCGCGATGCTCTCCTCGGCTTTTTGAACGGCCGGGACGCGCTGCCGGCGCTGTCCTGCAGTGGCGGCAGATACGTACTCGCCTACGCTAACTTTTCGTCTTGTCTCGGCATAGTTCGTTTCAGAAGAACTTATCAATCTAAATGTTACGATTATTCTGAATGAAACATGCCGTCCACGGCAAACTTTTCATCGTTGTATCCGATATGCGGTGGATAACATATCGTTATATATGTTTTTTTTCCCCATAGCCCCAATGCATAAAATGAGACTGTTAAGTCGACCCATCGTTATAACCGATATATCGTTATATGTGGTATCGTTATAAGTGGACTGCACTGTATAATGAATTAAATGAAGACTAGCCTTGCAATCGATACACTGTTAAGAATACACCCTTATAACAACTTTTCGGGTATAACAAACTTATTTTTGTGCTTCATTAAAATGAAGTCTGAGTGCATATAAAACTATTGATCAGCTTCTAACCAAATCAAACTACTCCAGCTGTTACAGGTTTGCCAATACGACCTGAAAATAGTGATATTGTACAGGGGTATTTAAAAAAAATGCTGGTGTTCCGCTTTGTACAAAGATGCATGCTTTCCCTCCCTCATCCTCTGGCATGCTTGGAGTCTCCAGCCTGTCACACAGACATAGAAGCAGCACGCCCTCTCATATGCTTTCTGTTGATTCCACAACATAGCGCCCATGTAGCAGAATAGGATCGCAGTAATATTAATATCTAAGGTATTGCGTCCCAAAAACACGATATGACTATGAAGGATGGTGCAGAGGAGGACTCGACAAATTTCGACTATCTCGTGTTCTTCAATGTGCACGCACGGTACACGTGTGTCTAACGATTCTCCCCCCCCCCCCCCCCCCTGAAATGCACCTTCCACGGCCGGGATCGATCTCGTGACCTTCACATGAGCAGCCAACCACTATAACCCTGACAGTACAGAGATGACTACTACACTATATTTTCATTCTTACTACCCCCATGATAGCTGTCCCAATAAAACACAACAACGTCATCCTTTGCCACAGCATATTTTCAAGAGAAAGAGTATGAAGTTGGGCATGTTGGTAATGCTGAACTGATCATGTAAACCAAAAATTTGACACCAAACAAAAGAAGGGATGACGACGACGAGCGCTCGTCTACGTTCCTTCTCTTGTCCTGCGTCAAATTTTTTTACACTAGGCGATGCTATTCGAGGGCAAGTTTCACACAAACAGAAAAAAATTTATAGTTGTAAAAATTTATAATTATAAATGCCCATATCTTTTGGCTCACCTTCTCAGAGCCGTTGATGATGAAGTAGCCCCCAGGATCAAGAGGGCACTCGTTCAGTTCACTCAAGTCACGGTCAGTAAGGTTGTTCAGAAGGCAGTACGTGGAGCGAAGCATTATGGGAATCTTGCCAATGAAAGTCTTCTGGTGCTGCGTCTCCACAGCTTCCTCATTTTCTTTCAAGACTGTTTTGGTGATATCCACGTAAAGTGGGGCCGAGTACCTGCAGGTAAAGATCATTTCTTGCTTATCAAAAAATTACAAAAGCGAGGTTTCTTTGATTAAAGGCAAGCACTTCCTTCCAAGTTTTCGTTCAGATGCTCAAAAATTCGAGTGATTCAAAAGGTACCACTGACTGAAAATACTTTCACGAAAATTCATGAAATTTACAAAAAATATAATTCACAAAAACCTTTCCTGTAGCAGTAACTAGTTGCTCCCAATGTTACAGCTCACGACAGCAGCGACTTTGGGAGAAATGATTCTTCACTTAAAATATTTGTGATGGTCATCGTTTTAAAATATTTGTTTTCGTCATATGACAGGAGGCAGGGAAAAATGACGTTTTGCTCAGCTAATGTCATTCGTTGTAAATGATGTTAGATTTGCCGAGTGGCAGGGGCATAAGGTCTTGTACTCACGTCAGGTTACGCAGCCTAGCCTCGTTTGGCATCATGGGGCTGGGTGCTCCATCCTTTTCCCAGTGGGTTGGCTTGGAGAGGTAGATCTGTTCAAACTTCAATAAATAGCGAGGCTGCAAAAAAAAATGTGCGACAGGTTTAAGCACACTAAAGGTAGCCATGAAAACTGCCATGTGCAGGGGGCAAAGACAAAGTAATACAGTATGTGCGAAAGCCCGCCAAAGTGTGTTCTTGAGCCCCCAGACACAGCAATGCCTTGGTGTCAAGATGCAGCATTGTGCGGCTGGATAATCAAATGCTTGCAGGTCGGCTAACGCACACAATTCCCGCTTGAGTTGTTGCAAAACTGCTAGGACAGGATGCCCACCGAGTTGATATTATCGCATTCCTCGCGTTTTCTAGGTTTTGGAGACGCAACTGATCAAAGCCATTTCAGCACGGCTTACGGATCGGCTAAAACTGCCTTTAAGAGCTGCGAACAAGCCTTATAGAGCCATTAGTAGTCCCACATTTTCGAACAGAAATATCTGCCTCTAAGATGAAGCTGTCCTGCCGTATCATGGTTAATGAAATGGATAACATGCACACACAAATGCACATTTTTTAATGAAATTACAGAAGATGAAGCTGATTACTGCTTTTTGTCTTCTTGTGTTCAACTCTCAGTTTCTGCAGCCTTACGAAGGTCGGTCACTACATACTTTACCGCAATGCACTATATATTTTTAATGACATGAGGCTTTCTCCTATGCTATACTATATGTATGAGAGTTCAAGCTACACAGATATTCTCCGCAACCTTTCTTCAATTTACGCAAAACAAAACTATGCTGACTATGTTTTGTTCGTGCTTACAGGACAACCTAGGTGAAACGGAAACTAAAAGAACATAAGGCGATATAGAAGAGGCTTGAGACGCACTAGCGCTTCTTTGCCCTGTTTGTGCACATGTAGTTTTCTATCGTATCTGGACAACATGCCCTAGCAGTTGGTTTAGAAAATGTAGTCCCGTGTTTTGCAGTTAAATTAATGCTATCATGCTTCATAAACAGAATATCTAGGCATTTTTTTTCTGTAGGAAGTTTGGCATTAGAGTTCACAGAGTGCAGTTCATCAATCTAAACCAAGTCATTGTTCCTCTTTAGTGTCCCTTTATTATTGACCAAAGTTCCCACTGTCGCGTCTGATGGACTCAAATATTGCTGCGTCTTTAAAGGTGACCAAAGGCAGCACATTACCGGATTCTCTATTTCACCCGAAGTGTGCTGCGCTTCAGCTTGCAGGTCAATCTGTGGTGTGTCCTCCACAATGCGCTGGACGGACATCTGGATGAATTCGTCGAATGAATCCAGCTGCTGTCGCACCAGGCCTTTCTCATCAAAGTAGGCACTGATGACAATCCAGCAGGCCTCCTGCCAGAGGTCAGGTGTGATCTCCTCCGACTCATCCTCACCAAAGCCATCTGCGAACGAAAACAAAACAGGATTAAAGATACATAAATTAAAGGGATACTGACACAAACATTCTGACCTCGCGCTTTTTTGCAGCAATGGGTTTCCAGTGTCCTGTTAGTCATAACATAACACATCGTTTTATGCAGCGTGTGAGATAATTAATTACAGGCTTGTTGTTGCTGACAACTTTCAGTTTCGGTTTCGAAAATTACAAGCCACCGAGCGCAACTATCGACCATATCAGCACACAAAACAAACGAACTTCTGCGGGGTTCGCATCAGAAAGTTCTTTCAAACAGAAAACAAGACAGTAATGCCATCAAACACAAAACTTTCAACTCTTGTGCCGGAGCCACGGACTCACGAGTAGCTGCTGAGTAATGGTGAGCTGAAGCAAATGCAACCGAAAAAGAAAATGACGGCTATCACGTCGTCACAACTTGCCCCAGCGAGCTCAAATGAAGGAGGTAGGGCGTCCCCATTTGAGGGTGTCAATAGCGCGATGGAGTCAATCGCCCGTGCAAACTTCAAAATTAGCTTAAAATATCTTCTAAGCTATATTTGCTGTTGATATTTTACAGATGAAATACGCATGTTTACAGGATTTGATCCTGCAGGCTATTTTGCCCAGGAAATTTTGCGTCAATACCCCTTCAAGCCTCAAAAGGAAAAAAAAAAGAAAGAAAATCACTTTAACAGCAGTTTCCTTCACATCAATGTGAGATGTTAATAAACCAGTAAAAAAACCCGAAGTCGGAAATCTGTGAAGAACTAACTGCACGCTAGTATGACGTGACCATGCTGTTGCATTAATTTTGCAAATAAGTTGTGCAGTATTAAAGTTAACCCTCTCCCCTTAAGCATAAAATTACAATTTCAGCTGGTTTTGGTTTCTCAATCATCCTAGAACGCTTCTGCATTGCAGGGAGGTAGAAGTGGCCGATTAGCAATCGAGCCGATGTTTCGACAAGCGGACTTGTCGTCGTCAAGGCTAGAAAAGATCCAATTTCTTCAAAACTAGCATGTCTAAGTTTCATACCCTCTCCTACCTTCTTTGCTCCCCCCCCCCCCCTCCTCTGGTAGTAAGGTTTTTCGGATTCGTGCAAGTACGATTAGTACAACCTAACAATCAAGCAACCACTGACCTTTCATAAGTGTGAGACTGGACAGACCTAAAGTTCAGGAACTGCCACTATGCGTTATTTTCCTGTACACGTTGAAAGATAGCATCCAATTGTTTTTTTGAACGAGAACATCCAAAACAGGTAGCCTCTGGTCAACTTGCAATTCTTTGAAGAATTGAATGGAGTCGCCTTGATTGTTTAGATATATCTTGAATGTTTAAAAGCAGAGTGCTTGGTGACGCAAAAACAATCATCAACATAGCGTAGGAAAACTCTTAGACAAGGGCTGAAAGAAGCAACACCTCGATTTTCCCGCACCCCATTGTGAGGTTAGCCGCAGTAACCAAGGTAGAAGCATCCATAGGCACACCATGAAATTGCTTGCAGACTTTAGCAAAACAGATGTAGGTATTGTCAAGGCAGAAACTAAGCAGCTTCTTCAAATCGAGAGCATCAAAAGGAGACCTCTCCGCTAGATGCACATCAGCATTGAGAGTAGCCACACACGACTCAATGGCGAGATCAATGGAAATGTATGTGAGCTGGCAGACCACATCAAATGAAACCATCATCTCGTCTTCATGAGGACCAAGCACAAGGTGAGACATAAAGCCCCACAATTTTTTTTCTCACCTGCTGCAATTTGCTGACATGCTTCAGGTAGCTCACTGCTAAATGGGAGGCCTGCAAATAGGCTAACCCCCTTTTTATGGTTGTGACTACCAAATCAGATGAGGTAAGGCCTAGATAAAACGCAAAAAGCCGTAGAGGAGAAACCTGGATGAATAATAGCCAGCTGTGTTTAATATATTTCGAGAAGAGGTTCACAAGCGCGCTTGCGTTTCGTACTTGTCGAAATGCTGGCAGGGCTTTCGAACCCGCGACCACGCGCTCTGCAGGGAACCGTGGCATTGCGCGGCCTTTCTGACATCAGGTTAAGTGCCATTTTTTTAAATTGCTAGCTGTTTCAAGTTACATGTTAATGTAACCTGCCTTTGGTCCTAGAAACTACTAGTGAGTACAGAAAATAGGCAGGGGCAGCCCCAGGATTTTTTTTTTTCAACTGGGGGGGGGGCAGGTAACTCATGCTTACTGTTTTGGCCATGTCTGCTCCTGGGGGGACAGGTGAAAATTTCACGGGCCGGGAAGGGGGGGGCTCCAGCTCACTCATAGCGTTCAATGAAGAACGTCGTAAGGGGGGGGGGGGGGCACGTACAATAACATTTCGCGTGACGGGGAGCCAGCAAAATCAGTTGCCTTTATTGTGATTTCTTCCGGTCGAATTCCAGGGTTTATATCTCGGACGTCAAAAGCGCAACGTCAGCTGACTACGTGCAGGTCGCAGCACTTTCTTTTACCGGAGAACGTACTCGTAGAAGTCGTCCCACTTCACACGGAAGTTCAGCTGAATCGTCCGAAGCTTCGCACAGCCACCACTCGCCGCTGCGACAATGCTTCGAAAGTGCCATTCGTGCGAAGTACGTATGCCATAGCGCGAACACGGGTTGTAGGCCATGCGTAGGATCACACGGAAATTTCAGACGATCCGGAACAAATCCGGGAAATGCAGCCATCTCAACAGGGACGGCGCGGGACTCGGGACACTCTACGAACAATAGTAACTTTGCCGCAAAATCCGGGACGGTTGGTAACCATGCTGGAATACGATATTTCGCATCATCGTGAGAAATGTGGAAGCACACCACACGCGTTCCATTTCGACTGCTTGTCAGCGAAGCACATCGCCACTGTCATCTATTGTTTCCTAGTTTACACAACCCTCACAGAATAGATGAAAATCACAAATCTACTAAAGCCGGCCCAGACGACGCGGTTACGACGTACTACATTCGAAGTGCGTATATTTCTTGTGAAGTGACACATAGCTACCATAACATTGCTGCAACAACGGCGAGTCCGGCGATCCCTCAAGTTTAGCGAATATAAAAAGCATCCCCTTGCCATCAACTTCGTTTGTTGCCGACCCTTAACACGCTGCTACTAGAAAAAAATACGAAACATTTCGTTTAAAAGATACTTACCTTCTTCGGCTTCATACATCTCTGACGCCGCTGTATGCAAATCGACAGAACGCAAACCAGTGTTGCCGACATGCAAAACTGCTTTTTTCTTGAACCTAGCGTGTAAACGTTTAATTTCTTTACATTTGTAATGCATGTAAAAACACTTGGTGCTTTAATTTATTATAATAGTTTAAAACAATGAAGTAATAATGTAGTTTCAGTAGCTTAACTAGAGCTGTAACGCGTAGAACTTGCATTGAAGTTTACCCTCAATGTGGCGCAGCGATTTATGGCACCGGGCGCCATTTTTGAGTTTGTTCCGCAGTAGTATTCTAGTGCACCATAGCAGTAGTCGACCCGTGCTTGCCAGCGGGTTTATTTGATGGGTGTTATGTGGCATTCACTGACCTTCAGGTTAGTGAACGCCACATAACACTCATCAGTGTGTGAGAAAACTGACCTTGGATCCGTGTTCTCGTGTGTTGCATGTACGCCGTTAATAAAAATTTGACCCCCTTTTGAGTATAAGTGACCGGGTGGCAGCGTGTTGCTGGTTCATGTTGACAACTTAACGAACGCAACCCCTCCTTTCGTTTTCTGACCCCACGCGCAACGAATACATCACCAATGTGACTACACGTGTGGGTACCACAGACGGTACACAAATGGTACACCGTGCGCGTACCATCGACTCTCTGGTTCACAAGACAAACATCCTGATGAGGAAGCAGTTAAACGGCTACAAATGCTCGGGGACACGTAATTATGTCACCAGCCGTCTTGTGAAGAAACCACCGATGAAGTTCCCTGTCAATAAAAGTTTCTCACACCAAGTGGAAATTTTTAATTAGATCCCATTAGAAATTTCCGATTGTGTTTTGGGACACCAGTTGGAAAATTACAATGGGTCTAGTGGGTCATCCCGTTAGGTTTCAATGGGCCTGGCCAACATAACCACTTGAAAACCAAAATCAATATCCAACTGAATTGACCAATTAGACTAGCGTTGGAAGTAAAATAGAGTTTCAAATAAATTTATCGATCATGTTGATGGGTCTAACCAACTCAAACAGTCAGAATCATTAAATGTAATCAAGTGGTTTGACCGATTAGGCAGATTGGTCAGGCAAATCTCTCCAAATGGAAACACCAGTGTAGCTCTGAAATAAGGGGTCTCGCCTGTTAATATCAATGGAGATGCATCAAAATTAAGGAACCATATTGTTGGATTACACTGAACTTAGCATTAGTAAAGGCTACCGCAAAATGAAAACTATTTCTTCACATATGTCATGCCCATCTCCTAAACATAACCTCGCTTAACATGCCAGTAATTTCACCCTAGTAACTTGTACCAGGTCCCAAGAACAATGGAATCAGTTCTTGTGGCTGACTTTAAAATGAACAGATGAAATAAATGACACTTTTGTAGACCTTTATAAAAGGTAAAGATTTTTTTATTTCAGGAGTAATGGTGTGATTGCAAACATATTTATATGAACTATTTTCTTGTTTTACAGCTTTCCTCATTTCTTCGATGTCCATTTGAAAGCAATTAGCAATCAAAGTCCAACTGGAAGTAATTGGTTGGCTAAAAACCCTATACACCATATTTGGTGCAAATGATTCTTAGACAATTCCCGTTTGAAAATTTAATGACGTCAAGAACACTGTCATGATGGACAAAAACGCTGGATATTTGATAACAGTCAGAACACTGTCGCCTCGTCACCCTTAAATCAACTCATCATGAACAAATCAAAGGTGCGACACGTCCTGATGACGAGGTATGACGATTTTCTGACCAAGTGTCCTATACTTAGGTACTCATGAAAGATCAGATTTGTCCATCTGTCGACGTGAAGTTGTCCGTATGTCAAAGGCAATATTATTCGGTGGTAAATATCGAGCTCTATAGAAATTTGGAGGCACGAAGTAACGAGGACAAGAAAAACAGCACTGATGCCAGTTGGTGGTTCAATAATAATAATAAAAAAAACACCAGCAGAGCTTAGTCATTTTATGGGCCTTTGAAAGTGACCTTTTTTCAGTGTACTTATTCACCAAGAGAACGTGCAAGAAATTGGTTGTGCTTGAGTTTAGTACTTTATTACAATATGGCATTGTATTGTTAAAGATCGCATCTTTATTTGTGCAACTCAAGATATACACGGCGTGTTTTAACGAGTACAAGTACAAACTAAAACGTCGATTTCGCCTAATATATCTGTATTCAAATAAGCGAAGATATCTCAAAGTTATTGATCGTTCATTATGGTAACAGGTGACTCCATTATTTTCCACATTGTATCCATGAGTTCGTGAACAGAACGTCCATCTACTACCATAGCAAGTTCTTTCGCCACGTTCTTATACAACTTTTTTTTTTTAGCACAAATGGTTGGAAGACGGTCCTGCCGGACCTCGGCGGTTTATCCACGATTTTCTCAAAATTAATGCCTGTATATCTTTGACCTCTCCCAACATTCGTAGCTATTTCTCTCAAACTCCTGCTACGTTTTCTCAAGCTCCTGCTATGTCGACCTTGAAGAACTGGCATCCAACCGTCTTGCCGCCGTTGGTGACGTTAAGCCGCACAGTTAAAGTCGTTGGAAGTTTCTGCAAAAGCAAGAGAGAGAAAAAAATTAAGCATTGCATTCTCTTACCGCCTGCTCTCCTATACTATCAAGTACAATCAAACACCACTGTTTAGAAGGGCACTGCAAATTGATTTTGCGGATAATTACAACGTGGCGGAAGGGCTAAGCGAGGCGAAGTTATAACCTCTTATGTAGCTGTAAAGCTCGTTAGTGTCGTAAAATGGGTGGTTGTCAGTCTCCTTTTCGTCACTGTGTACAAGCTTTGAGAGATAGAGAAAGAAGATAAGAGAGGTAGGTTAGTTAACTAGACTCCTTCCAGTTTTCTGCCCTGCACGGGGAAAGAGGGAGTTCGCTCGTGAGTAAACGAGGTAAATATAAAAGAATACACAGCACGATGTTGACTTCTTCATTTTCCTATGGTATTTTTATACATCCTGATGCGTGCGCCCTGTGAAGCACCATCTATAGAGGGGGGGGGGGGGGACTTGCAGTGACTATCGAAAAGACTATGGTTAGAGCACCAACAGGGGAGGGGGGGACGTTTGCGACGCAACATTTATGCCATAAAAAATTCACGTGCAGGCAATACGGTTATTCGCGCGCAGGGACACCCCTACCACGTCGTTTTTACATTCGCACAGCTTGTGTGACATGAAAGCCACCATGTGTGGAGTGCCAGTATTTCCAAAGCTGCACCCATGACGTCACATTCGAGCTGTCCATACTCAGTTACAACCTAAGTAACAAATGTCTGCTCCATCTCCCAGAGCCATGCTGCGAGAACCCTTCTCCTGGGAAGAAAGTCGTGTCAGGTTGTTTCTATTCGAACCGTCAGCACTTGGCTTAATCTTGGTGCGCATAATAGGAGTTAAAGGTTCATGGTTACTAGCAAAAACATTGCGTTAAGCATAGGAGTGATGTCACTCACACTGAGCGATGAAGTTTACCCTGCGTGGCGTTCAAGCTTGTGACCACAAGCCAAAAACATAAAAAGGGCTCGTTAGATGCAATATCAATGAGAACGAACAGATATTGATACCAAAGGAAGTGTAAGGAATGTTGTTAAAATTGAATATACTTTGTAAGCCAGTGACACAAACGTATGCCGGCGTGGGAAAGTCAATGACTGAAATATATACTCGAAAAGTGTTTGACATCATGAAAATTTATGAGTCCTGTTAGGCGCAGTAATAATGCGAATCGTGCCTGTCTAAGGGTGGTCCAACAGGGTCATAGAATTACTACCGATGAGTAGTAGAGGAATAATTAGATTGGAGACAGCAGTGGAAGGCAGTACTGCTCAGCATAGATCCAGAGGAACAGTTCTGGGCAGTCCAAGTCAACTGGACGAGGACGCCACCAGGGCACATGGGCTCCTGGCTGGCGCCTTGGCTTGGGATCTGCTCTACCGAGACCTCCGAATTTTGAAAATAAAGTGTATTCCTCCTCCTCCACTGTGGGGAGATCTGTCATCCTCAAATGCGGAGGCTTTCTTAGTCGCACTATGTCACGCTTCGGCGTCGGCGCCGTCCACACCCCCACTGCACATGCTAAGCTTGTCTCGTGCCTCATCTTGTCTCCCTCAAACGCGGGAGGAGTGCGTGTTCAGAATTCAATCAAGTGTGTCTTAGCGGACCTCTCCCCCATACCACTCTCCCTCGAACGGGGGCAATGTGCATATAAGCGGCGGCGCGCGCATTCGGAATTCAGTCAAGAGCGTCTTTACTTGACTTTCGCTTGACTCGAGTCGACGCAACATTCACGCGATAACCCCACCACTCTGCGACGCGTTTACTCGAGTTCCCTCCGTGGGGAGATGCGGGCGCCATTTGTATTCTTATAATATATACGGTGTCCCCGGGTGTAGTCGTACGAACGCTGAATTTCACTGTATTCGTTTCTCAACGTAACTACGGAAAAGCGCCCAGTACTTACACCAATGAAAGTCCCCAGGAGGGACGGCAACGGGACGTCAACGGTCTTTTGAAGCGTAGTTGCTGGAACGGGGCACTTGTTGCCCCACGACTCACCGAGAGTCTGCTCAACTATATTACTTTTCCCGCAGAGGTTGTACGTGCTGAAAAGGACACATACATGCAGACACTCAGAATCAGTTTTACGCAGTACAGTTTATCAGAACGTACTTCAATTGGTGAGCAACAGTGAGTGAGCTCAACGTATTTGCAATGAGTTTGGCTGATTCTTTCAAGTATAACTAGAGAGAGGGGATTTCTGTGGACGGAATAGCCAGATTTTTGTAGATGAGGGGAGGGATGCTCAGTAAACCTTCATGCATAATCATAGGGTATACGTGCACATTAAAAACCCTAGAAATACTACATTGGTACGCTGTGGTCTCCACCGAACGAAGAGCCGATGTTAATTAACTTTCGTTTCACATAACTTTGTATATTATCTTTGTCAGTATACTGTGTAGACAAAGATCATAAATGTAAACGCATATACAAAATTATAACCTTTCTCAAACATTTTCAATTATATTCAAGCTTTCTAAGCACTGTGAAAAGCCTGAATTTAGGATTTCGAAGTCATGGAGCATACATTCCTCAAGATTTCAGACTAAATATTAGAGCGAGCAAGCCTGTTGCAAAGTCGAAACTTAAATATGACTTCCTAAACCAGTGTTCTAAACCTCACGGAGGTGAACATGCGACGTAAGCAGGCAAACTCGCGTCTACTGTGCCAGCTACTGCTTCCCATTCATAGATATTTGTGGACCGGATTTTAAGAGTGACATATACAACTCTTCGTACAAACCAAGGAAACGTCTTCCTCGGTGGTCTAGCGGTCATGGAGCTCAAATGCGAACCCGAAGGTCTTGCCGCCTGCCCTGGCTTCTTAGTTTCTATTGGGAGCTGGTGTGCACCACACCGGAAAGGGGAGATGGCAGAAAACAATGGCGGCTATGCAGCGCCCTCTAGTAGATGTGTACAGACTCGAAATCGGACTGGTTCGCACCTGTTACGGTGACGAGGTATTTTTCTGCTTCGGACCGCGTAATTTCATCTTAACGGGCCTCCACGACATCGTGATAAATATAACCTTGAATACGTTGTGCGCAGGCTCATCGCAATTTCTACGTGTGAAACCGTTTTGCGCTATCGTACCATGAGCCGATGTAGAGCAAGCAGACGACTTCCCGACCATCCTTTTTTGTGAGTGTCACTTGTAGCTTGGGATTAGATTCGAGTGGCTCGTTGATCGTAATTGAGAAGTTTACGGTCATCTTCTGGTTAAGCTTTGCGTTTTGTATCGAGAGGTCGCTGAGCATAACTTTCTCCGAACCTGCAGGAATGCAAGAAAAAAAAAAGAAAGGCTTCCAAGTCACAGCTTCAATTCAATTGCACAGGTACACGGAACTCTAGTATGTTTGAACAACATTTTGATTTTTACCTTATATCCTTCGTACGCTATACCAGTTCGATAACTCTCAGTGTTATATAATGCCTACCATAAGCGTAAGGTTGAAGGGCATCGTCAAAAACTTCTTGAATTGTAACAGATAGCATAACAATATGGTGTTCATTGTCAGAGCAAGGCCACCACACGTGAAAGATGTGACATCGAAGTGCATGTCAACACGTATGCCCAACAGAACAAGTCACTTAACGTGAATGCTGGTGAAATGAGACGTTTTCTCGGCGTTTCACTTCTCAATGGCTATGTACCAGTTCTGATGCATCTAACGTTGTGGGGAAACGATTCTCACCGTGAACTCACAATAATTCTCTCAATGACCAACTGAATAAAAATATTTCAATGTACTGCACTGCCATTCGAAGAAAAAAAATGGAAGTCATCACTCCAAACAAATATTCTTGATGCATGTGCGAACAATGCATTCTGATTCTGCAGAACAGGAAGAACTGACAAAACGGAGCTTCTCCCATTTCGCAGGACAGAAGTTTAGAAAGCCCCCCTCCCTCCAAGGTATAGAAAAAATGGCCAAATTCGTTGTTTTCTTTGAAAACGTTTAACCTCCCTCGTGAAAAAGAAACAGCGTGGAAAACGAGACCAGACGAAGAAGAACACAGAAAGAGCGCCTGCTTGACACGGACCCTCCTACTTGATTCTCCTGATATAAACAGATTATCTATTTGAATAATCACAACGCATGCTTCTAAGAGATTGTTCGTTCTATAACGCGGCGAATCTTGAAGTCAGCTCACAGTTTTAAAGTCTGTGGTAAAAATATTTTGCACGCCCAAAACCATGCATCGTGTAGAGGGAAGGAGCTGATCCAGCGGACGGACACATTGAGCAGCCTGACGAGGATTGAGCAGCCTAACGCAATGCGAAGGTGCATAGAGAGTGGTTCCTGTTCGAAATATCCTTTAATGCGCTGAATGATGATAACCCGCATGAAGCTGACGCATAGGTATGGCATAGTATGTTCTCATTGAAGTGCAAACAACGCACCATGAAATATTTGTGTATGGTACGGAACTTCCTGATTAAGCAAGTACTCCGAAAGAGCAATGACTCAGTTCTTCGTTTCTGACACCGTCTGTTGCAGTTCTATCTTAATTAGTGGTTATATAAGAAAACTTAAGAGACCATCACTTGTTAAAGGTTGCGCACAGGAAATATCTACAACATATATCCACTATTTGACCGCCAGCATACCCTCACAGCAATTGCTTGAACCATGACTCTTGAACTTCTTTTACGCAATTTCCATTGCGTGTTTTTTTTTTTTTTCATTGGTCTCGACGAATGGAAAAAACGGACACGGTGCTTGGTGGACGATTAGGCCAGTTGGTGATGCATGATCTAAGAGTACTACGTGGTAGAAAACACGGACGGGAAAAAGACGCTTGTCCTTGTCTTTTTCCCGTCCGTGTTTTCTACCACGGTGCTTGGACTGCATATATAAGTGTTGCCTGCATTCCTTCCTTTCATCTTAACTTCTCGCACAGTTTAGTCTCCTTCTAAATTACATGATCCAACCAACCGGACAAATCTTAACGCTGTCCATGTGCCTTCATCTCCTGATATAGGTGATTATTACGACGGCAATCTCTCCACGCGCTCTGCAAGAAACAGAACTGTCAGGTGAGGTGATATGATGTAATCTGGCTTTTCATCGAGCCGCCACAAGTTCAGCTGAATAAACAGTTTGATCTTTGAACTTCAGTCTGCTCCTTTCGTCGACGTCACAACCGCGTGACATCTTAGAGGCCTAAAATAAATATGGTCTGTCTCCTTTGCAGCTAATGCTGAATTCCAATGGCAGATCGGGAGCGCTGGACCGGGTTGCGAATAGAACCAGAGATCCAAGCGGGATCTCTCTCGCCAAATCTGTGATTGGAACACGCGCGCCTTGACGGGAGGTGTTTGTGAGCGGGAATCTATAACGAAGGAGCCCGAGACGTTGCGAGGGAGTGCGAAGCGTTTTCCGGACGTCCATGGGTGATTTAATGATAAGTGGGTGCACAGGATGCGTCACTTGAACTTCCGGTCAAACCCGCTGATTTCGGCGGAGCGAGAATTCTTGCTTCACGGAGCAATCCGTGATCTGCGGTTGCTCTCAATCTGCCCGTGGAATGTTATCGCTCCCCTCAGAGCAGAATAACTTGATCTGGATCTGCCATTGGAATTCAACATTAATTTAAGAAAGCGTCAAGTCTCGAGTACGACCAGATGACAACGCGGTAAATAAAAGGGGCGAGGGGGAAGACCTCCCCCCCTCATTTTTTTAAACTGGGCCTTCCACAATGTTAATCCAGCTTTGAGTAGTGATAGCGTGCACGAAGAACTATGGCTTCAATTCATTGCGTCGGCGAAGCTGTCAGTGTCTGCTGGAAGAGCAAAGTTGATTTTAACGACCTGACCACACAGTGGTCCCTCAAGAGAAGCACGGAGAGTGCGCTGCTCATTGCCATAGCAAGACCACCACGTGTTGTGAAAAATGTGACATCGCATCGATTGATCGATCAATATGTGGAGTTTAACGTCCCTAAACCACCATATGATTATGAGAGGCATCCCGCCGCGGTGGTCTAGTGGCTAAGGTACTCGGCTGCTGACACGCAGGTCGCGGGATCAAATCCCGGCAGCGGCGGCTGCATTTCCGATGGAGGCGGAAATGTTGTAGGCCCGTGTGCTCACATTTGGGTGCACGTTAAAGAACCCCAGGTGGTAGAAATTCTCGGAGCCCTCCACTGCGGCGACTTTCACAATGGTATACGATGGCTTTTTGGGACGTTTAACTCCACATATCAACAATCAAATCAGTCTTATACAGATTGCCGCTTGCACCGAATCCAGTAGCCTTCGGGGATCCGCTTCTGCGCGTGATCGTGAATCGACATCCTTGTAAGCAGCTGGCCGTTCCCCCCTGATGCAAGATTCGCATCACATATGAACTGAGTCACCTGACTTGCGTGACTTGGACTTTTCGGAGTTCATCTGCGCATCATGTGCTACTTCAGCGTCACCCGCTGGCCGCTTCAGGCCTGCCATAAAGCCGACAACGAATGCTGAGCGCTTCAGTGGGTCTTGTGGCGGCACGATGTGCACTTGGCTCAAGCTTGTCTGCACTGTCTTACAGGTAGGACCAAAATACGACTTCCCTTGCTATATGAATGACGATTGAGGTCTAGTGCTGCTGCCCGACCCACTGTTGACGTCGTTATTGTTTTTATTTGCCAGTAGAATTTCGTTTTTATCATCCGGTGATGTTGAGAGCAATCCTGGTCCTGACGAGTTAAACTAAGACAGCCGCAGCTGCTCGAAGGACAAGAAACAAAACCTTGTTCTGGGCTATCCAAGTTCGCTTCCATCTAAGAAAGGATAAGTAGGCTTGAGGACTGGGTATTTCAAACCAAAGAAGGAATCCCACGTGTTCAGTAACTTGAAAAAGGACAACCATTCGGACGAACTTGAAAACAGGTCCCGTAAAAATAACATTATTGTCAACGGACTGCCTGAACATCGTTATGAGTCTCCCGGGCCGCTGCTTGATTTATTCACGGGCCTGATGTCTGATAAGCTTGGTCTTGAATGTACCACCATCGAACGATGTCACAGGCATAGAGCACGTAGAGGGGGAAAGCCCAACCTTGCTATACTTAAATTTTTAAACTACAGATCCAAACTTGTCATTTTGAAGATTGCCAGAAAGCTGAAAAAAAAAACACAACAAATAATGTTAATGAGCACTTCTCGGAGCGCGCTAGAAGGTTACGCAGCGCCCTTCGGAAACTTTCAGCTAACCAAAGAAAAAACCCCATCTCTAGTTTGCAGCAGCATTCCCTGCTGATCGATAACGCACGTTATGTGTTAAACGAAGCGGGTGACTCTACCATTCAAGCCAAGAAGCAACCTTCTCATCCTCCTGGAACTTGACTCCACTCTGATCACGTTTCGTTAGGAAATGTGAATGCGCGTAGCATTCTTAACAAGACTCAAGACTTTCTTCATCGCTTTGTTGCATGCTATGATCCTCCTGTAATATGCGTAACAGAAACTTGGCCTAATGACGTATCATGAACTCAGAAATCTTACTACCAGGTTACAGTGTTCTGGGAAAAGATAGATTTGGCCGTCGTGGTGTTCTAGCTGCGCTCTATGTAAAAAATAAAATAAATTAATTATTCTTACTGTACTTACAGATGTAACCAACTGCGAATCTATTTGGTGTGAAATTTGGATTTGTAGTCTCACGATGGCTATTGCAGCTGTCAACCGTTCACCTGATGCGGGTTTTCGCATCTTTTCTGGTCTCATGAATTATATATAGCCAAACAAAAATTAAATAGTTACAAAATGTAAATCACTGGGGGCTTCAATGCCTGGAAGACGTTATCAGCACATGGCCAACACAAGGTCACCTGTGACTACTTGACTGACTTAACTCTTTCTTTTGACCTGGCGCAAGTTGTTTATTCTGCAACCCGCGAAAATGCAATTCTTGATTTTGTTTTCATTAATGAACATCAAAGAATATGGTCATTATTGTGAGATTATCGATGGTTTGTCGGGTCACAAAGGTGTCGTAGTTGATTTTAACTTAGCGACTGTATTAGTTCCTCCTTTACACCAAACTGTTGTGAACTACGAGCATGATGATGATAACTCCATAAATGAGATGCTTTCATCCTCTTTTGATGAGTTTTTAAACAGAGCCAGCCGTTACCATGTCGATGTACTAGTGAACAGCTTTAGTGGCATTACTGGCCGATGTATTGTAATTACATTTCAACAAAGCGTATAAAACGCAATGCCAAGTATCCTTGGTACACTCCCGGCATTATATATCTGATTCGTCGTATCAGGCATCT